CAAAAATAATCAAAAATGCCATGGATAGAAAGGAATTGTCAACATTAACCTTAATGCGCACAGGTTAATTTCTCGACAAAAAAAATTGAATTGCATGTTTAGGAACAAACATATGAGCATAAATTGCATCACTTGCATATGAGGTAGGGGCATATGGAAGGGCGTTTCACAAAAAAAAGGGATGAGTAAAAGAAAAAAATATTTCCTGTCTTGCATTTTCATTGCATCTATACATCCATGCATTATATTCTCTATAGATCAGAGGGAATCATAGAGGTCAAAACACTCACAAATAGCTCAACAGCCAAGCAAGAGCCCTAACTAACAAAATAATAGAGAATGCTGGAAAATCCCCAATCTGGGGATCCATCACAAAACAAGGGGGGCAGGACTCCCTCACAACAAAGATCAGTTTAGACACTTCAACAAGGCCGAACGAGTTCACACTCGATCATCAACAAAAGGCATTCATAACAATACTCACATGACACGGGGCAACACCAGAATCCATGTCAGCCATCTACTTCTCTGCCCATCAACACAGGGAACATCAAGCACCTCCTGCCCAACATCCTTGGGGGGAGCATCTACCACAAATCAAGCATACCAATGAGGGCACCGACAGTTTCCTCAAAATATAACAAAGGTCTGGAGAGACGGTACTCACATCCCAATCTAGTATACGACAAATCTGTGAGGGAAAGGTCTAGAGAGACGGTACTCACATCCCAATCTGATATACGACAAAGCCGTGAGGGAAAGGTCTGGAGAGATGATACTCACATTCCAATATGGTATATGACAAAGTCGTGAGGGAAAGGTCTAGGGAGACGGTACTCACCTCCCAATCTGGTATATGATAAAGCCACAAGGAAAAGGTCTGGAGAGATGGTACTCACTGTTGAGCTTAGGAGAGCTGGAAACTTAAAGAGTTTTGATGATCACAACAAGTGTACAACAACAACTTGGAGCACAAAAACAAAGTTAAAGAAGAGTCAAGAAAATGCTATGAAATGGAGCTATGTAATAGAACTTAGGAAATAAATTATTTTGAATGAGTTTTTATATTGTGTGTGCTAAGTATGCTTTATGCATAAGCAAATCTTATCTAAACCAAGTAGAGAGTAGATGATGATGAGTTAAAAGCATTGGAAAGTTATTTTGAGACTTAAAATGAAGTTTTAAGAACTAACTCAAAATAATCGATTATTGTTATATATAATCGATTATTTCAGCAAATGGGCTAAGTGGAATGCCTTGCTGTAATAATCGATTATTTGCCAAAATAATCGATTATTTCAGGAACAACTCTCTGGAATAATCGATTATCCAGCTAAATAATCGATTAAATTGTTCTTGGTTGATTTCCATAAAATTGAAGAACAAAATAATCGATTATTCTTTAAAATAATCGATTATCTGGGTCTGAAACTTTTATAAATAGTTTGAACTTTGAGAAACTTCAGATAATGAGTTAGAACTGATAATCAATTTGTGAAAAACATTTTTGTGAGTCTTTGTGACATCTTGGAGAGTTTTCTTTGTGAAATCCAAGAGTGAAAACGTTTGTGAAAAGCTTTGTTAGAAGATCATCATCATCATATTCTTGAAAAGGGAAGATAAAGATTTGTTCAAGAATTCCAGGTGAATTCGTTCCTTTTATTCTTTGTGAATCTTTGTGGAAAATCTTGAGAAGGGTTTCTCAAGTGGTAAGGTTTCTTGTAGTGGGTTCTACAAGGGGTGCTTTCTTGGGGTCAAGAAAGTGGTTATCTTTTAGTGTTGAAGTATATGCATGTGTGTGTGCTTGTAAACCTTCTTGCTTAAAGATAGTGGAACAAATCTTAATCAGGTGTTGATTAAGGACTGGATGTAGGTCACATGTGGAGTGGCTGAACCAGTATAAAAGACTTGTGCAATCTTCTTCTACCTTATCTTTTACATTGAGTAATTTCTTGGTTGAACTTTAAAGAAGATAAAACTTGATTAACAAGTGTATGTGAATCTTGATGGTTTAAATCTGTAATTGAACATTATTGTTGAACCTCATTATGTTGTAATCAAGTGAGCATATTGCATTCATATTTTCATAACAAGTCTTTAGAAGAGCTTCATTTGGAAATTCTGTCATAGAAAAGTTTTGATTGAAATTAAGATCCAAAATACTCTGATAAATTTTTAAAGGGTCATTGAATCCAATTCACCCCCCCTCTTGGATTGTGCCATTCTTTTCTAACAATTGGTATCTAGAGCAAGGTTCTTGAGAGTTATTCAAGATTTCAAAAATGGCCAACAACAACTTACCCTATGGTGAGGGTGTGTCTATTCATAGACCTCCTGTTTTCAATGGTGAAAACTATGTCTATTGGAAAATTAGGATGAGAATTTTCATTGAAGCTATTGATATTGCTGTATGGGATGCTATAGAAAATGGACCCTATATTCCTATGAAAAAAGATGATGATGGTGAGCTTAAGGAAAAACATTGGAGTGAGTGGAGTGATGAGGAAAAGAAAAGAGCCCAACATGATAAGAGAGCCAAAAACATTATAACATCTGCATTGTCTATTGATGAATTTTTTAGAATTTCACAATGCATATCTGCTAAAGAAATGTGGGATACTTTGCAAGTCACTCATGAAGGAACAAGTGATGTAAAGAGATCAAGAAAGCATACTCTCATAAGAGAATATGAGCTGTTTAGAATGCAAAATGGTGAATCTATTTCTGATTTTCAAAAGAGATTTACACACTTGATAAATCACCTTGTTGACCTTGGCAGGAAATTTGAGAAGGAAGAGATGAATTTAAAAGTGCTGCGATGCTTGGACAGAACATGGCAAGCAAAGGTGACAGCCATTGAAGAATCAAAGGATTTGACCTCCTTGACATTAGCTACTCTCTTTGGGAAGTTGAGGGAGCATGAGCAAAAGCTGCACATATTTGATGAACATGAGCAGCAAGATAAGAAAGGCAAGAGAGTGTCATTGAAAGCCTTGAAAACTGCAAAAGGAAAAGAGGTGTGTGAAGAAACAAGCTCTGATGATTCCGAAACCGAGAACTTCAACTTGCTGGTAAAGAAGTTCAGAAAGTTCATTAGAAGAAAGAAAAATTCCCCCTACAAATTCAACAAAAAATCAAACAAGAAAGTGGAAGCAAGCACATCCTCCTTCAATTCCTTTGAGTGTGGAAAATCAGGACACATGAAAGCTGAGTGTCTAAATCTCTTGAAGAAGCAACAAGAGGAGAAGAAGTCTAAGAAAAATGGAAAAGGAAAGAGAGCCTATATTGCTTGGGAAGACAATGACTCGAGCACAACAAGTGAAGAATCCGAATGTGAGGAGAACAACTTGTGTTTGATGGCTGGAACTGCACAAGACACAATTGTAAGTGACTCGGACCTTGAATCAAATCTGGATTATGATCAACTCCAAGAAGCTTTTATACAAATTGATGAAGAAGCTGTCAAATTAGGTGCCTCAAATTCAAAGTTGAAAAACAAGCTGAAGTGGTATGAAAATGCTTTAATTAAAGCTGAACAAGAACTTGAAGATTTGAAGCATGAGCATGAAAATCTTCAAACTATGTTTAACTTTAGTGAAGCTCACTCCTCAAAAGATGTTTGTGAACGTTGCAAAGTTTTTGAAAAAGAAAATTCTGATTTAAAATCCACACTTGCAAAGTTCACAAATGGAAATGCAAATTTAAACATTCTTTTGGGAAAACAAAGAAACACTTTTGATAGGAGTGGACTTGGTTTTAATCCAAGCATGAGCATGCCACTTAAGTCAAAGAAATAAGCTTTTGTGAAAAACCAAAATTTTAGAAAACTCAAAAGCTATGTTTTGCAAAGGCTTGCTCATAGCTTCCAGTTTGCTTTTGTTTTAACTCATGAGAACGTATCGGCTTTGGTAAGAGGAATGGATCTTTTCATGGAACAATTTGAAGACAAGGTAAATTTCATGCTGGCAAATTATTTATTATAATATAAGTTTTCTCATATCAAAGGACAAAGGTGACATTAACATTAATTTGCAAATATAGATGACTGTGGATGATGTGTATTTGTCATTCCTACCCTTGGCTCATATCCTAGACCGCACTATTGAGGAGTACTTTTTCCGTAAGGGTGCATCTGTTGGCTACTATCATGGGGTAGGTTTGTTCAACAATTTCTTGTTAATTTGGAGTGGTATGTTAATGGAAGTCCCTTAAAACAAGTACAAAACTAGAGATTCCACAATTAGGGATGGGCAAAACGAACTGAACTGAACTTATAAAAACTATATTGAACTTAAAAGTAGTTCATATATGAACTGAACTAAACTAAATATTAGTTCAGATTAACTGAACTGAACTATTCTTTTGTGTCATTAAACTGAACTGAACTATACTATAAAAACTTGAATTGAACTATAATTTAAACTGCACTAAACTGTTATAATATTTTGAATTGAACAATTTTGACTCATTGATCTATCAAAATAGGACACATTTACCAACTTTACTTTATTTTTCATTTTATTTAAAATTTTCAAAGGAAAAAAATATAAAATTAAGTCAAACAAACTCAGTAAATTTTAAGCCTAAAAATAAGTAGTTCAACATAGCTCAATTGATCCGTTAAGTTCGACAAAATTGATACAATTTTTTTTAGATCACTTTTTTTCTAAAGTTTTGGTTATTAGACTATCGAGCTAATCCATTAAGACATAACATGTTAAACACATTTAATTTTTATTCTTTTATAAAAATAGTTTAATTTTTATAATTCAGTTCAGTTTTTATAGTTCAGTACAGTTCAACTTTACAACAGTTCAGTTCAGTTTAGTTTTTTTTAAACAGTTCAGTTCAGTTTTTTTTACAAACAGTTCAGTTTTTTATAGTACAGTTCACCACCAGTTCAGTTCAGTT